CAATATCTATAAAACAAAACTTTCTTTCCTCCTTCAGATTATACGTTTTCTAAATCTAAACTATATCAGAAAGCTACATTAATTGTAATTTGGCATTTTGGACCTCTTCATCGCATGCAAATGGAGTTTTTGTGAGAAAAATACGTTTTAAAAAGCATCTTTAGTTTATCTAGAAAGTCTGCTACCAAACAGCAATCTGGTTACATGTCAGAAAACGGTGGGATGACCTTTTTGTTTGGCTTGATGAGGTATTTTCATCTTTTAAAGGGTTTTAACTCTTTACTCTCCACAAAAAGAGGTTGTATAAACCTTGCTGGGTTAGAATGGTAAACACTTTCAGAAGTGCTAATAAACATTTCAATAACAGGCAACTCTCTAAATATTAGTCAGGCACTGTATTGCAGTCACAGCGACATTTTACAGTCAATGTTAGAGGTTCACACCACATTTTTTAGGCATTTCTTCTTCCTCTCTGTATAATATGTGGAGCCCAAGGTGGGTAGAAACTGAAAAGTTTATTAGGAATTGTTCTTTCCCTTATGTTTTACTTTTCCTCCATTGATATCCTTGAGCTGCTCTTACTGGAGCAGTTTGGTTCATTTATTCCCTAAAGGTAACGAGCTGTTCTCAGATCAGGTGAAAATGCAATATTCAGCACTCATTTCTGGATGTTCTTTATCTTTTTCTGACATTTATACATGACCTACTTTAACGGCTGGTTTTCTAAATATGTGCTAAAAATTTATTTGGAATTAATTTCTTCTCCCCTAATTTGCTATATTACCACAACATTATCTATCTGTACTTTTACATGTTTTAGACTTTGAAATACTAGCTCATGCATCCCCAAATCGGTCCTGGAGGACCGCTGTGCTGCAGGTTTTACAGGGTTTCCTGCTTCAGCACAGCTGAACTGCTGCTGAACTGCAATCATCAGAATCAGCTGTGCTGAAGCTGAGAAACCTCTAAAACCTGCAGGACAGCGGCCCTCCAGGACCGACTTTGGAGATGCCCGTACTAGGTTTTAAAAGCCAACACAGCATGTTTCCATCCTTTGCAGACCAGGCGGTGCAAAGCAGAAGGTCGTAATACGTTTAGATTATATTTAGCTGTAATGAACAGGAAATAGAGGCAGTGAACGAGCACAGACCACAGATCAATAATAAAATGAGTTGTAATCCAGCTACTTGTCCTTATTTCATCACGTAAGCCAGGATTAGCGATGTTTCCTTCCACCCAGAGACACAGAAAAAGAAATGTGGTCATTGTGTTTGTTTTTAGTCTTCGGCAAAAATTAAATCTGCCGAAGAAGAGTTAAGACATTCTGCCTATTAGATTAACCTGCATAAACTTCCTTGATTTTTTTACAGCATTCATATTTTTTATATTTTTTTTTATATTTTTGTAATTCCTGATGAATATTATCAGATTAAAAGTAAATGTGTAAAATTTTCCAAAAAGTGTTTAAAATGCTCCAAAAGACCTTTGAAAGGCTGCTGCAGTGCCTGTAAAGCCAGGAGTTCATTGAAACGAAGCAATGCTTTGCATTTTTGACTTTTTCACAAATAGATTTCTTTACTTTATTTCTCGTGTTTCTATAAATATGTTTCCCCTACAGGTCAGTTCCAGGCCGGCCAGTTTCAGCCAGCTATTCGAGTGGCAGATCTCCTCCAGCACATCACACAGATGAAATGTGGGCAGGGATACGGTTTTAAAGAGGAATATGAGGTAAAGACACACATATAAACATATCCTGTATTTAGTGAGGACCATGTGATGACTCCTATTGACTCCCATTGATTTTAAGACACATAATGATTGAATTTTATTGATCTCACAATGGAGAAATTTACCTCTGCATTTAAACCATCCCCTTGGGGAGCAGTGTGGGTTTAAGGGTCTTGCTCAGAGACCCAACATGGTAGTCTGTGGGAGTGGGGCTCGAATTGAGAACCTCAGCCAAGCTCAATGCCCTAACCACTAGACTGCCACTTTGTATGCCCAACCCCTGATAATGATACTAAACCCAACCATTAGCAGTGTATACCTCACCCTATCCTAAATCCAAATTGATTTCACACCTTAGTCCTAAACCCAAGGACCAGCAACATGTCCTCACTTTGGTACATACAGTTCTCAATATAATGGGGAAACAGGAGAAGCCTCACTCTGATACCGAGACAGGAGTACGGGTCACAGGATTACATGGGTACAGGTAACAGGGGTGCAGTTATAAGGGGTACAGGTAACAGGGGTAACGGTAACAGGCATACAGGGGTGCTGGTGACAGGGGTAAAGGGAACAAGAGTAAAGGTAACAGGGGTGCAGTTATAAGGGGTACAGGTAACAGGGGTAACGGTAACAGGCATACAGGGGTGCTGGTGACAGGGGTAAAGGGAACAAGAGTAAAGGTAACAGGGGTGCAGTTATAAGGGGTACAGGTAACAGGGGTAACGG